GGGATGGCTGGAGACCATGGTAGGAACTTGGACCACTGAGGATGTCTCACTTTCCCTTTCCCTGCACTGGGGAGCCTCTCCCAGCCAAGTTGGATTCTAACTTCCTTCTTCTGTGCCTCAGGTGTTTCCTGTCACTTCTCTGCTGAATTCCATCGTTTTCTCTTAGGTACTGTATTCAAAATGTGATAATCTCCTCGCTATTTCGTTGCCTCTTTGTGGAAGAGGCAATTGCCAGATGCCTCTATTCAGCCATCTTGGGGCCCCCTCTCAATTTAATTTTTAATGCGGTGTGATTTAAGGATCAAGGTTTCCATTCTGTTTTCTTTGCTTCTGTTGGAGTATGGCTATCCAATTGTTCCAGCACTCTGTGTTGAAAAGACTATACTTTCCTCCACTGAATTACCTCTGCTGCTCTCTCTAAAATCAATTGATGATCTATGTGTGTCTATTTCTAGATTCAGTTCTACTTAATTTGTCTTTTTTTTTAACTGTAGCTCTGTAGTAAGTCTTGAAATCATGCTATATAAATTCTTTATTCATTTTAAAGTTGTTTGGTCCTCTGCATTTCCATGTGAATTTTAGAATTAGCAAGTATATTTCTGTTTTTAAGAAAGCCAACAGTGGCTCACACCTGTAATCCCAGCACTTTGGGGGGCCGAGGTGGGCAAATCACTTGAGGTGAGGAGTTCGAGACCAGCCTGGCCAACATGGTGAGACCCAGTCTCTACTAAAAATACAAAAATTAGCCAGGCGTGGTGGTGCGCACCTGTAGTCCCAGCTACTTGAGGGGCTGAGGCAGGAGAATTGCTTGAACCTGGGAGGCGGAGGTTGCAGTGAGACAAGATTGCACCACTGCACTCTGGCTCTGGTTACAGAGCGAGTCAAAACCAAAAAAAACCCTAGTGACGTTTTTATTGGGACTGCATTGAATCTGCAAATCAACTTGGGGAGGATTAACATATTGAGACTTCCAGTTCATGAACATGGTAAACGTCCTCATTTACTTAGGTGTTCTTCAATCAGTCTCTCTCAGCAACGTTTTATAGTTTTCAGTGTACAAGTCTTGCATAATTTTGTCAAATTTATTTCTAAGTATTTCATAATTTTATGCTTTTATAAATTACATTTTTAAAATTACACAGCTGGGCGCAGTGGCTCACACCTGTAATCCCCCAGCACTTCGTGAGGCCAAAGTGGGCGGATCACGAGGTCAGGAGTTTGAGACCAGCCTGACCAACATGGTGAAACCCCGTCTTTACTAAAAATACAAAAATTAGCCGGTATGGAGCCACACGCCTGTAATCCCAGCTACTAGGGAGGCTGAGGCAAGAGAATCACTTGAACCTGGGAGCTGAGACTGCGCCACTGCACTCCAGCCTGGGCGATGGGGAGACTCCGTCTCAAAAAAAAAAAAAAAAACTTAACAATTTGAATTGGCATCCATTCACCCTAAAAAAGCAGCACTGAGATTTCTTTTTTTTCTTTTTTGGAGATGGAGTCTCGCTTAGTCACCCTGTCTCGCTTAGTCACCCAGGGTGGAGTGCAGTGGCACGATCTCGGCTCACTGCAAGCTCCACCTCCTGGGTTCATGCCATTCTCCTGCCTCAGCCTCCCGAGTAGCTGGGACTACAGGCGCCCACCACCACACCCGGCTAATATTTTGCATTTTTAGTAGAGACGGGGTTTCACCGTGTTAGCCAGGATGGTCTCAATCTCCTGACCTCGTGATCCACCCGCCTCAGCCTCCCAAAGTGCTGGGATAACAGGCGTGAGCCACCGCGCCGGCCAGCACTGAGATTTCCATAGGCAGCAAGGTGATCAATATCCTATCCAGCAGCCAGTCTGAGTGCACAGGCTGGGGAAGTGGGGAAGCAATGGAAAATGAAGGTAATTCCTCCCTCAATGGATTTTTGTGAAGCTGAGGGAGGAGGCAGATGGAACTCTACTCCAGAGCAGGTTGAAGACGCTGAAAGCAGCAAGAGGCTGAAAGCACTTCCCCACAAGACAGGCCCGTCATTGCCATGGCAGTTTGCTATTGCCTTGGCAACACCCGGAAGTTACCACCCATTTTCTAGCCCATTCTGAATAACATTTAGCATCTTGTATGTCTTTAAGAGTGGGTATATAGGCTGGGCATGGTGGCTTACGCCTGTAATCCCAGCACTTTGGGAGGCTGAGGTGGGCAGATCACAAGGTCAGGAGTTCGAGACCAGCCTGGCCAGCATGGTGAAATCCCGTCTCTACTAAAAATACCAAAATTAGCCAGGCACGGTGGCAGGTGCCTATCATCCCAGCTACTTGGGAGGCTGAGGTAGGAGAATCGCTTGACCCCAGGAGGCAGAGGTTGCAGTGTGCTGAGATCGCGCCACTGCACTCCAGCCGGGGCAACAGAGTGAGACTCCGTCTCAAAAAAAAACAAAAACAAACAAACAAAAAAAAACTGGGTATAAGCCAGGAACAGTGTCACACCTGTAAACCCAGCACTTTGGGAGTCTAAGGCTGGAAGATCACTTGAGCCCAAGAGTTCAAGATCAGCCTGAGCACATGGCAAAACCTTATCTCTTAAAAAAAAAGAAAAAAGAGATGGGGTCTTGCCGTGTTGCCCAGGCTTGTCATGAACTTCTCGGCTCAAGCGATCCTCCCACCTCAGTCTCCCAGAGTGCCGGCATTACAGGCATAAGCCACTAATCCTGACCCCCCCACCAAAAAAAATTTTTTTTTTTGAGACAGAGTCTTGCTCTGTTGCCCAGGCTGGAGTGCAGTGGTGCAATGTTGGCTCACTGCAACCTCTGCCTCCCAGGTTCAAGCAATTCTCCTGCCTCAGCCTCCCAAGTAGCTGGGATTACAGGTGCCCACCACCATGCCCTGTTAATTTTTTTGTATTTTTAGTAGAGACGGGGTTTCACCATGTTGGCCAGGCTGGTTTCGATCTCCTGACCTAAAGTGATCTGCCCACCTTGGCCTCTCAAAGTGCTAGGATTACATGCGTGGGCCACCACGCCCAGCCTAAAACGATTTTTTTTTAAATTAGCTGGGTATGGTGGCATGCACCTGTAGTCTCTGCTACTCAGGAGGCTGAGGTAGAAGGATCACTTGAGTCCCAGAAGTGAAGGGTGCAGTGAGCCGTGATCACACCACTGCACTCCAGGCTGTGTGACAGAGCAAGACTTGGAAAAGGCCCCATAAACCCCAAGATCTGGATCCATACTTTGGTTACCCCACCTGTCTCCCTTGAGCCCTAGAGGGAGAGCCCTGACGCTGTGACTGCAAAAACTTGACAGTGGAAAAGGCCACAGCATCCAGAGACACCGGGAGTACTGGCCAGGTCAGAAAAGGCACATCCCACGACTACAGAATCCTTCAGTCTCAGGATAATGGCCATGAGAAGAGAACAGCCCAGAGAGTATATGAGAATCCATAAAGTCTGTAAATTATTTGCTGACAGTGAGCTTGCTACAAATAACAGGTCTGCAATTGCTGAGTTCTGGTGCCCTCACTCCATGAAACCTCAGTTGCTGGAACATTTGTGGATGTGTCTTTAGAACTGGCTCAAGCCCTCTTGTTTACCAGACACTTCACTCCATACTGCTTCACTATTTCTATGCCCACTTACTATACTCAGATTACTCTACCCAGCAGGCCCCTAAGGGTTTCACAGTCAGTCTAGAACTTACCTCCATGTTCCAGATTTTGGAGAATATGGCTTCTGAGCTGAAAATGGAAATAGCTCCTTCTGACTAATGCTGGAAGTTCTGGAACATTCCCTGGGAACAAAGAACGCAACTTTTTCTGTCCATAAACATACAGAAGCTCTCTCACCAACTATTCCCTTCCTCAAGGTGAGCTCTGGACCTACAAAAAAAAAAGCCTGACATCCAGGCTACAAGTCTTTCCCTGGAGGACTCAGGGGCCAAAACAAATTAGGCCAACCTTGATTAGAGCTATTTTCTGTCATCCTGCCATCCCCACTGAGGCAGAAAAAACTCAAGAGACCACCCCCACAAGAGCCATTCCCTCAACTTATAGTGATAGTGCCTGATTCTATTCTCAACAATCTCTCCAAGTACAGGGATCAGAATCTCAATTTTTTTTTTTTTTTTTTGAGATGGAGTCTCACTGTGTTGCCCAGGCTGGAGTGCAGTGGTGTGATCTTGGCTCACTGCAAGCTCCGCCTCCCGGGTTCACGCCATTCTTCTGCCTTAGCCTCCCAAGTAGCTGGGACTACAGGCATCCGCCACCATACCCGGCTAATTTTGTTTGTATTTTTAGTAGAGACGGGGTTTCACCATGTTAGCCAGGATGGTCTTGATCTCCTGACCTCGTGATCTGCCCGCCTCGGCCTCCCAAAGTACTGGGATTACAGGTGTGAACCACTGGCGCCCAGCCCCAGAACCTCAATATTAAAAGTGACTTGGCAAGGCACAGTGGCTCACAACTATAGTATCAGCACTTTGGAAGGCTGAGGCAAGAGAACTGCTTGAGGCAAGGAGTTCGTGACCAGCCTGGGCAATGTAGCAAGATCCTGTCTCTGTAAAAAATTTTTTAAATTAGCCAGGCATAGTGCCACACAAGTACAATCCTAGCTATTCAAGATGCTGACACAGGAGGATCACTTGAGTCCAGTAATTCAAGTCTGCAATGAGCTAGGATCACGCCACTGCACTCCAGCCTGGGCAAGAGCGTGAGACCCTGTCTCTAAAAAAACTAGGCCAGGCGCAGTGGCTCCCCGCACTTTGGGAGGCCAAAGCAGGAGAATAGCTTGAGGCTCAGAGTTCCAGACCAGCTTGGGCAATGTAGCGAGACCATGTCTACGAAAAAAAAAAAAAAAAAAAATTAGCCAGGTGTGATGGCACACACCTGTAGTGCCAGCTACTCAGGAGGCTGAAGCAGGAAGATCCCTTGAGACCGGGAGTTCAAGGTTGCGGTGAGCTATGATGGCACCATTGCACTCCAGCCTGGGCAACAGAATAAGACCATCTCAAAAATATTTTTTAAAAAAATTTAAGCGGCTTAAACCATAAAACCTTTATTGCCACACAGTCCAGAGCAGTATGAGACAGTCCATGCTAGAGCATGACAAATACCACGTATGATGTCAACCATGTCCATGAAAGTGGTAAACCTTCCCAGGAAGCCCCCAGCAGATACCAGGTCAGCTCCTCTGGCCAGAGGTGGGTCATGTCCACAGCTAAACCAGTCAGGGGTAGGGAATGAGGTCTGTTTTGGGCTCTACCATTAATGATTCTCTACTGTTTAGAGCAAGGAGCACAAGGTCTCCTGTCCCACTTGCTGTAGGGACCTTACGGGGTGGACAGAGGAGGATGGCGGTGGATAAACTGACAGTGATGTGACACTCCCAACAGCCACAGGCAAGTCAGAGTGCAGTGTGGCTCCTGAAAGCTTCCCACACGCCAGGCACACATGGGAACTCTCCCCGGGGTGGATGTTGGGATGTACAAGGTTTAGCTTCTTTCAGATGGCACTCTCATGGCCACTCTCCTCAATCTCCTTTCGGGAAAAAGGCCCTTCCTGATGAACACGGTGCTAGCAGCTAATGACTTTCCCATGTGACCTGTCCCCCTGGGGCCTTTCTGAAGTATGGACTTTCTTGTGCTGAAGGAGGGTGGAACTATGTTTGAAGGCTTTCCCACACTCTGTACATTCATAAGACCTCTCTTCAGTGTGGAACTGCTGGTGCCGATTGCGGTAGGATCTGGTAGTGAAGGTTTTCCCACACAGGCTACATTCATAGGGCCGTTCCCCAGTGTGGACTTTCCAGTGCTGATAGAGGCCTGAACGGGTCACGTAGGCTTTCCCACATTGCTTGCATTCAAAAGGCCTTTCTCCAGTGTGAACTCTCTGGTGAAGAATGAAGCTATTACTGTATTTAAAGAACTTCCCACATTCTGTACACTCATAGGGCCTTTCTCCAATGTGCACTTTCCGGTGCCGAATGAGGGTAGACAGAACACTGAAGGTTTTCCCACATTTGCTGCACTCATAAGGCCTTTCTCCAGTGTGAATCCTCTGGTGTAGAACCAGGGCGTCTTTGCGGTTGAAGGTTTTCCCACAGTCACTACACTTAAAAGGTTTTATGCCTGTGTGAACCTTCTGGTGTTTCCTCAACTTGGACGGGTAACAGAAGGCCTTCCCACACTCATTACACACATGGGCCGTTTCTCCAGGTCGAATTTTTCGGGGGTTAATGTGAGTTGACTTCTCCTTGGAAGCACTTCTGCCTGCTGGGCATCTGAAGGGTCTGTCTTCAGCATGCGTTATCAGATGGTCAAGGAGGGCAAAGGCCTTTGAGAACACCTTCCCACAGTCACTGCATTTGAACAGCTTCTCTGCCACATGGACTTCTTGCTGCTGCCCACAGCTGGAACCAGGTGGGAAGGCTGCCCCATGCTCAGTGTGCCTTCTTGGTTTCCCCTCACCATGAGTGTCCTGGGGCTGGATGACTCTGTAGCTCTTCAGACGCTCGGGACGGGCTCTCTCATCCTCCACTCTACATAGACCATCTGAAAGCAGAGATGAATTTGTTACTAAGAGTTGAACTAGAGGGAGGAGGTACCTTCATCACCAGTGCATGTCAGACACACCCAAAGGGACTCCATAGAATTGCTGAAAGGTTCAGGCGCGGTGGCTCACGCCTGTAATCCCAGTGCTTTGGGAGGCCAAGCTGGGCAGATCACCTGAGGTCAGGAGTTCAAGACCAGCCTGACCAACACGACGAAACCCCGTCTCCTCTAAAAATACAAAATTAGTCAGGCATGGTGGCGTATGCCTGTAATCCCAGCTACTCGGGAGACTGAGGCAGGAGCATCACTTGAATCCGGAGGCGGACGTTGCGGTGAGCTGAGATCGCGCCACTGCCCCCCAGCCTAGGCAATAAGAGTAAAACTCCGTCTCAAAAAAAAAAAAAGAATTGCTGAAAGGTTGCTAGGAAAGGTCTGGACTGGGAAAGCCTGGCCCAACTGAACATGGCTCCACCAGACTACAGAATAAGGAAAACCTCAACTGAGATGAAGGCACAAGATAGGATGCAGTGCAGGGAAGAGAAGTGGGGTCTCCAAGTCACCCCTCTGCAAACGGTTTCAGCAGGGCCTTGGCTGCTGGGGACAGTCAAGCATTATGAGGAGGCATGCATCTAGACCCAGCAAAATGTGATTCCAAAGTAGCAGCTAGTGTTTGAGTAAAAATTAAGGATGGGCTGAAGTTCAAATACCTGTTTAAGGATATGAGCACATCTCGAGACATGCACTGAGTCGCCAATAATAGACAGCTCTGCACAGATACAGAGAAGCGCAATGAGGAGACACAGGCCAGACAGGCAGGAACATGCGGGGCCCGAAAGTCATGGTAGAGATGGCAGACTGCACAGTGTCCAGATAAGACAGGAAAGGGGGAAGGAAATAAGGTATGGTCACTGCCCTCAACACCAAGGTAACAGTGTATGCAGATACTCAGCATTCTGTGAGCCTACTGTTGAAACCAAGGTATTCCCCTCCACTCCACTTACCAAGACCAAAACCTCTCCTGGCTTCTGCTCTGCTGACTGGAGTCACATCCACCCAGCTGGGCACCCACAACTGTTCATCCTTCTCCAGTTGGGAAAACACAGGGGATCTCGAAGGTGCAAGTCCTGCGGGCGACAGGTAGTAAAAGAAACAGGCTGGGCATGGTAGCTCATGCCTGCGATCCCAGCACTCTGGAAAGTGAGGTAGGAGATCGTTAAGTCCAGATGTTCGCAACCAGCCTGGGCAACACAGTAAGACCCCAACTCTACAAAAAATATATTATTTTAATTAGCTAGGCATGATGGCATGCACCACCTGCAGTCCCAGTTACTAGGGAGGCCATAGTGAGAGGATTGCTTGAGCCTAGGAGGTCAAAGCATCAGTGAGTCATGATTACACCATTGCACTCCAGCATGGGCAACAGAGTGAGACCCTGTCTCAAAAACAAACAAACAGGCCAGGCACGGTGGTTCACGCCTGTAATCCCATCACTTTGGGAGGCCAAGGCAGGTGGATCACGAGGTCAGGAGATCAAGACTATCCTGGCTAACACGATGAAACCCCATCTCTACTAAAAATACAAAACATTAGCCGGGTGTGGTGACAGGCACCTGTAGTCCCAGCTACTCGGGAGGCTAAGGCAGG